TTAGCAAATGCACTTCGAAAGAACGCCAAGTTGACTTCTTTGAATCTTGGTTATAATGGTCTTGGATCAAGTGTCGGAAAAGCATTAGCAGACGCACTTCGTAAAAATACCACGCTGATTTCTTTGGATCTTAATAATAATTATCTTGGATCCGGTACAAAAATAGTAAAGAATTCATCTTGTGGGACCAATCAATCCGAACTTCTTCGAAATAGCAATATACTAAAAGGGATAAAAGCATTAGCAAATGCGCTTTGTAAGAACACCACGTTGACTTATTTGAACCTTAGTGGTAATAACCTCGGATTCAACGAAGGAAAAGCATTAGCAAATGCACTTTACAAGAACACTACACTGACTAATTTGGATCTTAGTAAAAATTATCTTGGTCCAATAGGAGGAAATGCATTAACTAGTGCACTTCATAAGAGCGCTACATTGACATCTTTGAATCTTAATCAAAATTATACCAGGCAAAGTGAAACTGAATGTAATTAATACATATCCGATACATGATACGTAGCACATGTTATAATTATCTAAACGAACCCAAACCAGTTTAAACGTATAAGAAAAACAATTCCGAATTTTACCCGTACTTGGTTTCAGCGCGACTACGTCGCGCAGCTATATAGTATTAAGGAGAGTGTGCAATATGAAAAAATTATTATATATAATGTTTAAACCAAATATATTTATTAATTAGAAATTGTATAGGGCTGCTTCGATTTAATTAACTAATAAATGCCACAAATTAAAATAAATTTAAATTTAAGCCAAAACTGATGTTTCTATATAACCATAAATTCATATATAGACCTTACCTTAAACTCTAACCAAATAATGCTAAACAGTACCCCAAAAATTCTACAGCGGTATGAAACTTTCATATTAAAGTTAATATTAATGCTAGAGCATGAGTTGCAAGAAATTGTATACAGATAAACAGGAGCGATCATTCAAATTCGTAGATTGATAAATAAATTTTTTATAAATTTTACATTACTTATATGTGCTGATTTGAGGAATTGCTGATATCTTTTGATCTACTGATCCGTTCTGAATTATTTACCAAAATGTTCATCTCATTGAGACGAACATTTTGGTAGCTAAATCATTCGGAACGGATCAGTAGATCAAAAGATATCAGCAATTCCTCAAATCAGCATATATGTTTTTTTAAAATCTCGGGTAGCTTAAATCATACTCACCTGAATTAATTACACAAATACAGCTCCTAAACTGAATTATGCTAATTTGGTTTTGTTTATTTATAAATATTATAGTATTACCTTTCTCTGCTTAGCATCTTTTAATCTATTAACTTGTGTTGATTTGAATAATATTCTGTTTTAATTATACTATATTTTCTAAAAAGTCAAACTAATTTACACAAATACAGTATTAGTATTATACGAAATAAAATTTTTAAATAACAGATTAAATATAATAATTTCAACTTGAAAAAATTATTTAAATATAAGTTTTCTTTACAATATTTTTATTTTTATCATATTTAGCTTAGTATATTGTTTTGTTATTTGTTAAAATATTTCTAATTCTAGAGTTAGCCAAGTTAACATATTAGTTGGTATTAAATTTATTTTTTTGACAGTGCAATTATACCTTATACTATACCTAATGAAGTCTGCTATCTTGATTTCGTTTAAATAGCTATCTTTGACAAGCACAAAATTAAAACAATACTAACAGTATTACTAGCAGTATTAAAAAATACAGACCTGCAGATAAATACAAACAATTAAGCAGCTATACAAACAATTAAAAAAATGAAAATATAAAAAAAATATATAGCTGGCTAAAGATAAAGAATAGAAGTATACTGTGGCAAATAGAGTATATATAGAGAATCAAGAATATAAAGCTAAAATTACACAAAGTAGAAGACTACAGCAGAGCAAAAAAAAATAAAAAAGCAAATAAATTAGCAAAAGAAGAAACAAGATCAAGCAAGACTATCAAAGTACAAGTACTATAAATTAAGCTTATACATACTACTTCTAGATAAAAAATATTAATAGATAATCTAATCTAGAAGTTTGTAAATTTGGTCACAACTTCAGTACTAAATGTAGATTAGATTAGATTAAACAGAATGCAAAGATAAATAGAAGAAGAAAAGAAGAATAAATTAGATTGAAAAAAAATATAAAATATATAAAAGAGATAAAAGATAATAGGTAGCAATCTTTTGCTTGAAATATATGTTACTTAAAAAGATTCTAAGCTTTAGCAGAAACTCAATAGAAAAGAAAATAACAAGTATACCAAATATAAAAACTCAAAGTAAAAATCTGAACAAGATCAATTTGGGAGTTGTATGAGTATGAAAAGTAAAAAATCTAGATTAGCTAAATATAGATACTAGTAAATCTAAAAAATTTAAGTAATATAAAGATGGAGTATAAATAATTTAATAATATAGAATAATGTGATTATATGAATATATAACACTCAAGACAGCTAATAACTGTTTCTGAAGTAGATAATAGAGTTTATCCAAACTTTAGCACCTACTTTACGGACTATCCACCGGCCTCCAGTTTCTTCAAACTCCTAATCCAGATGGCACAGAAGAGTGATCTTTCCTCCAGATATCTGACAGCCTGGTTGGTGTGGTGCTTTTGCCAAACACCTCGGTTCTGTTCAGTTTTCCAGTTCTCCAGGTGATGATCCTTTACTAGCACTATCAAAAGTCTGCACTACCTCTCTACTCGGGTCTTGCCAAGTGGGCTTCTATGTGCTCCAAACCCCTGGATTTACCCAGCTGCTTCACTCAGGTTTCATGTAACTCATGCATCACACTAATGTTACTATAAAATTTTATTAAACTTTTACTAAAACATGCCTACTATGTTTTACACCTATAAATATATTATCTCAAAAACTAGCTAATTAATCAGAATGAAGTATTTTATTAAAAATGTTCTATACTCCTCTAACCCACCTCAAACCTTAATTTTAACTCTAAATACTAACCATAATATGAAAATTTTATATTACTATCAAAAGTCTGCACTACCTCTCTACTCGGGTCTTGCCAAGTGGGCTTCTATGTGCTCCAAACCCCTGGATTTACCCAGCTGCTTCACTCAGGTTTCATGTAACTCATGCATCACACTAATGTTACTATAAAATTTTATTAAACTTTTACTAAAACATGCCTACTATGTTTTACACCTATAAATATATTATCTCAAAAACTAGCTAATTAATCAGAATGAAGTATTTTATTAAAAATGTTCTACACTCCTCTAACCCACCTCAAACCTTAATTTTAACTCTAAATACTAACCATAATATGAAAATTTTATATTACAAATATAATATATAAAACTTAAAAAATCTATAAATCTTAATAAAACATATAATAGATGCCAAACTACCATAGGTCATTTTATAATAAATGGTTTATTAATACAACTAATTTCACGTTTTAAGTAAAAATGATCCTGGTCTTATTCTAAATTGATTTCATAAAAAAAAGTTTAAAATTTGTCAATTTCTTCTTTTGCGCACCTAGCCCAATCGTATTTTTATTATATTCTAACACTAATTAATCTCACTCACAAATAGAGAGGTTAAGCTAAATATAAATTATCTGACACATTTTAAATTGTAACATAAAAGGATTGTCAGTCACTCTGCAGCGTTCTGGTGTCGGATGCCTAAAAAAATAGGAAGATATCATTCAAAGTCAACACTAGGAGCTTAAACGCACGTGGTCCCAAGGAAACGAAGCCTTGAAGAGGCAGAAATAGGTGAAACCAAGCCAAAAACAGACAATAAACAACTGTCTAAATCACTAAACAGAGACAAAGACAATAAAAGCAACTCCAAAGAAAAACACTTCGAAAGACCTGAAAAAAACACGAAAAAAGCTTTTAGCGAAATGTTGAGAGCTTCGTCACACGTTGTAAACTGGGCAGATGAAACTGAAATAGGAGTAGGAGGAGAAAGTTTCACCTTCACACAAAACTTAGTCGAGGATTCAGTAGAAACAACGCTGGGAAAAGAAACAACTTCCTGGCATCAAGTAATGGAAAGTTCTAGAAAAAATCCTGAAACAAATTCATTGTGCGACACAACAATTATCGATAATATAGACTTAGCTGGAACAAATGTAAAGCCAACTACAACAGAAAACAAGGAAGGTAGCCCAAGACAGTGGTCTAGTCTCTTTACAAAGTTAAAAAGAGATCGATCTATCTTCTCAACATTTACTTCAAGGAAAAATATTCGCACCAAGAATCACAACGTGCTAGTCATCGACATTCAAAAGTTAGAGAATTTAACCATTAACGAAATCGCTACAGCATTACACAATAGGTACGGGAATGACATTCTGGGCATGAAGCCACATGTCATCAAAGGCAAACGCACCGACCTTGAATTGGTCTTCGAAGACAAAAAAAAGTTAAAGCAGTATGCTACAGAAGGTATCTCAATGTTCAGACAATCATTCTATGGGTACATCCCAACGGACTTGAGGCGTACATTCCTTTCAGTTAATCTCAGGAATATACCAATAGCTAACAAAGAATTAGTATCACAGCAAATAAAAGAAGCATTCGAGAGTATAGGGAAAATGGTTGCTATCAAACCGCTTCTTTACAAAAGCACATCATTGTTATTGAATCAATGGGTGGTCATGTTCGACATTACAGAGGATCCAGAATTAGCAGAAAGCTTCCAAGATTCACACACATTCTGGAGCAAAAAATTATCACAGAATGGAAATCGGCCTCAAAATTCTGTTATTTTTGCGATGAGAAGGAACACATTAAAGAGATTGTAAGCAATATCAAGAATCAATTGAATTGAGAAAACGATACAAAGAATACAAAGAGCAGTTGATAAGAAATAAAGAAAATACCCATGAAAATACTCAACACAAGGAGACTGAAAGTCAAAATATGGTTACCCAAGAAAGCACAGAATCTGAGAAAAACCCAGCCACTCCTTAAGATGACGTCGACATGTTAGAGGAGCATGAAGAAGAAATATTAACAGAGATGTTAGAGAAAGATAAAAACTCAACAATGGAAGCAGAGACAGAAATAATTATTGAAAACACACCTGAAAATGAGGCACCAAGAAGAGACCCAGCTGAGATCGAAATGGTGAACACAGCTTCAAACTCGCTGGTGCAACAAGAAGGTTTAAAGGACGAAGACTTCACATTGGTCATGAGAAAGAAAAAAAAAAATGGAGATAAAAAGACAAAGGTTACTCTTAGTGATAATAGAAGTAGCCCATACAAGAAAGTAAGAACTTCACAGGATCATCCCTTTAATTAAATTTTAATCAAAATGAAAATCAAAATAGCAACGCTAAATGTAAAGGGATTGAACAATAGAGTCAAACATCAGAAAACCTTAACATTGTTGAAAATATACAAACTTTACATAATAATGCTTCAAGAAACAAACTTAAGCGACACTAACACAAGATCCTTCATAAAACAGCAATGGTTATACGATTCGCATTGGATCTCTAAAACAGCATTACTGGCGGGTAATAGAGACATAAAGTTCAAGAATGTTCAAGATCTTTGAGAAGGAAGGGTAATCTCAGCCACATTCAAATTCAAACAAAAAACGTTCAAGATCACAAACATTTATGCTCCACCAAACATCAAAGATAGACACATTTTTTTACAAAACTGGGCCCCTAATATAGATGAACAAGCAATCAATATAATAGCAGGAGACTTCAATACTACAATAAAACCAGAGGTTAACAGAGTAAGCCAAGCTCTAGCACATCACGACCCAACAAGAGAGATCTTAAAAAAAAAACAAGAAGGTTTATCGATGTAGCAGAATTAATAGGAGAAAAGCCCTTCCTAACCTTCTTCCAAAATGTTTGGGGTAATAGATCCATGGCAACAAAACTGGACTATATTTTTGTGGATGAAAATCACATTCAATACTGCAAGCAGATTAGAACTCTATATGGCAACTCTGACCACTTGTTGGTCAAAGCCTTAATTAATTTTTCTTCAAATGCAATGAAAAATGCTTCATGCTAGAAGTTCAACAAAAGAAGTCTCTTGCATGACAAAATTCGAAAGGAAGTGGCCAAAGAATTATTAAATAACAATAACCCCGAGGACTGGGACTTTCAAAAAACTTGTTTATAGTCTATAATCAGATCTTTCAAACCTCCACCCATGCCAGAATGTCAAATACAGAAAATAAATAAGCGATTGACAAAGCTGAAGGTAAAAATAGAGCAAGACCCCGATCAACCAGACTTACGAATAGTAGAGAGCCAATTAGAAGAACAACTGCAAGATGAGTTAACGAACCTTTCAGAAAAATGGCAAATCAGATTCAAGGCCCGATGGATAGAACATGGGGAAAAATCGACAAGGTACTTTTTCACTAAATACAAGATAAAACATGCTCTATTGGCCACAGCTAGGGATGGGTTCGGTCGGTCACGGTCGGTCACGGTCAGTCATTACCGGTTATTGACGGTCAACCGGTTGACCGCGGTCGGTTATTTAAGGTTAAATGACCGGTCATAACCGATCGATTATTTAATCGATTATTTGGATTTTTGCTCTGTAAACCCTTCTTCTACTTCTAATAAAGTTGTAGAGGAAGAAATTTCGGCTATGATTATGGTTAAAAAATCAATATTGACCCATTGGATAACTGAGATATGAGAATTTTAATTCTCGCGACTATACATTTCCTTTTTTTGTTTACTTAAATAATTAAAATTCATGATATATTGCGTTAATTTTAGCAGTTTATTATCATCATAATCATAATTTCTTCCTCTACAACTTTAATTAGAAGTATGGAGTGACATTTTCAAAACAATCTAATTCTGGTCAAATTTGCAGATCATTTGGCCTATTGGATCTACAAATTTGACAAAAGCAGTGATCATCAATCACGTGAAATCATGCAATTACGTCATTTGTTTACCAGCACTAATACTAATACTAATACTAACAAATCGGCCGAGTTTATTTCAAATCTCAGATTTTTATCGATTGGCCGAGCAAATTTTTATCAGGTGTCCCAGAATTTATGATAACAGCTGTAATATGAAACAAATCATGGTTTTTTTAAAGAATCTGGCATCGGTCATTATTTGACCGGTCAGTTAAACCGCTCTGACCGGTCAGCAACGGTTACGGTCAATGACCGGTCACAACGGTTATGACCGTAACCGTACCCATCCCTAGCCACAGCTAAAATAAAAACCCCAGAGACCTCAGAACAAGATAATCCACTGGCCACATTGCAATATATTAGAGACTTTTATGAAAATCTCTACAAACCTGAGGCATCAGTTCAGAAGCGATGGAAAAAATAACAGAAAACCTCCCTCAGCTCACGAAACAACAAAATCAAGCCCTTGTAAAAGTGATTACTCAAGAGGAAACCTCCACAATTATTACGCAATTACCGAATAACAAAGCCCCAGATACCGACAGATTAACTTATGAATTCTATAAATCTATGGAAGAAGAAGTCACACCTGTTCTTGAAAAAGTTTTCAATTGAGTACTGCGCATGGAAGAAATGCCTAAATTATGGTGTAAGAATATTATAACACTAATTCCAAAAAAGATGGAAAATTTGGAGGAAGTACGCAATTAGAGACCAATATCTCTAATCAATTGTGATGCAAAAATATATATGAAAATTTTGGCCAACAGGCTAGATACAATTTGCAAGAGCATCATCGGGAACCACCAACAGGGATTCGTATCAGAAAGATCAATAATGAATGCTGCACTTGACATAATTATCACTATGCGTAATCAAACAGACCAAACCAAAGATAACTAGATGATTTTCATAGATCAAACAAAAGCTTTTGATCGAGTCAACCACAAATTTCTACAAAGGGTATTAGAGAAGATGAATTTCGATCAGGGCTTTATCAAGCAGATAGTGGGTCTATTTACCAAACTAAAGGCCCATATTGCAGATGCAGGCCTGCTTTCAACACCTTTTCGCATGGAAAGAGAGTTTAGACAAGGAGACCCCCTGTCTCCTTTGTTGTATATATTGGCTTTCGAACCCCTATTAAGAGCAATAAACAAAAGGCTGAAAGAAATGGATACAGGAGGCAGTGAATTTAAATGCGTAGCATACGCAGATGACTTAACGGTTGGAATAGGCTCAGCAGGTGACTGGGAAATGTTCAAGACATTAATAGTACAGTACGAATCAGCTTCAAACGCTCAAATAAACAAGAGCAAAACAATCTTGGTCCCACTCACTAACAATCCTGCAGAGTGGAGCTGGATGGAGAAGAGGAATATCGAAAATTAGAGGAAAATAGTAAAATTATGGTCCTAGGGTACACGTTAGATGTCAGAGGGCAACCAGACAAGAACTTGTGGCCCGATTTTATAGTCAAGATAAAGAAACTTACTGAAGAATTCGCACAAAGGAATTTATCATTTAAGGGCAAAATTCTGGTGGCAAACTCAATTTTAATTTCAAAAATATGGTACACGGTACTTGATGCCTCCAAACAAAAAACATCTGAGCGAATTGAATAAAATAATCATGCATTGGATCAAATCTAATACCAGTCTTCTCTCAAGGTATTCTATTTTTCAGCAAACAACAGAAAAAAACGGGCTGAAGGCACCAGTATTGACGGACATGCTAGAAGCAAGGCAAATGTCAATCTTCCTAAAGCTTCTAACAGGACAAAATAATTGGGCGAAAATAGAATGACGATTAATTGAAGAGAATATTCAGCTCAAAAGACAAATTTCCATAAAAACTGCCCTTAACAGCCTCCCAGTCAAAACCAAAGGTTGGCTAGATAACTGGAAACCTTATGTCATGGCATGGAAAAATTTAGAAGGAAAAGTAATAAATGAGACAAATGAATGGCCTTGGTGTCTAAGCGAGATATGGATCGCAAAAACACATGGAGATGAGTACACAGTGAAAAAAGCCACAGACTTCAAGAAGATCAAAATGATAACAGTCTCAATAACACAAACTGGAATTCTCCCCGGAACTGAAGAACAAACATAATCACGCTGGCAGAGTATCAAATGGGCCCCAAACAAAAAAAAAGACATCTTCTGGAGGTTCATACACAGGTCCCTACCTCTAGGGTACCGGCTAAAGCATATCAGTAATTCAGAAACAGGGAACTGCCCAGCATGTCCTCAGACCGCCCAAATGCCTGAACATTTCAGTATAGAGTGCCGAATTAGTTAATTAATCTGGAAAATCACATACGACATCCTCAACAAGTCCAATTTAAGAATAACATGTTCACTAAATGAAATAATTAATAAATGAAACAGGGATTAAAACAGCCGTGTTATGGATACATATAGCTGCCATATATGAAATCTGGTGGTGGTACTCACAAACGAAATGGGGTGGTAAGGAAATTCCAGAACCGATACTACCGCATATAATCAAAAGTCGGTTGGAAAAAGAATTAAAGATGATGCGAAATAAGAAACCTCAGAGCAAAGAGTTAAAAAAGATTCTCAAATATTGTAATTAAACCTATGTATATAAAATGTAATATAAAATAATGTAATCTCACATATTAGCAATTAATAAACTACGCCATATGGCGTCCCACTAGGGGGGGTTAAAAAAAAAAAAAATTGTAACGTTATTAATATTGTGCTATTGTAATACTTGGATTGTTAGATTTCATGGAAAAATTAATACTTGTATCATAAATAACCAATTTTTTAGGAGTATTGTTCTTGGAAAGTGCAGCATTTAATGCTTTTCCTCCTTCTGAATTGAGATTATTGTGATTAAGATACAAAGAAGTTAGCGTGTTGTTTTTACAAAGTGCATCTACTAATGCTTTTCCTCCATCTGGTCCAACATAGTTCCAAGAAATATTTAAAGAAATCAGCGTGGTGTTTTTGCAAAGTGCATCCGCTAATGCTTTGCCTCCTTCTGATCCGAGATTATTGTCACTAAAATTCAAATAAGTCAGCGTAGTGTTCTTGCAAAATGCATCTGCTAATGCTTTTCTTCCTTCTGATCCAAGTCTATTTCTGTAAATACTCAAAGAAGTTAGCATTGTGTTCCTGCAAAGTGCACCTGCTAATTCTTTTTCTCCTTCTGAACCAAGATTATTCTAGCTAAGATTTAAAGAAGTTAGTGTTGTATTCTTGCAGAGTACATATGCCAATAGTTTTCCTTCTTCTAATCCAAGATTATAATTCCAAAGGCTCAAAGTAGTCAGAGTTGAGTTCTTACAAAGTACATCTGCTAGCGCTTTTATTCTAAACGAACCAGGTTCATTACATAGAAGACTCAAAGAAGTTAACGTGGTGTTCTTGCAAAGAGCATTTGCTAATGCTTTTCCGATATCCGATCCAATATTATTCGAACCAAGACTCAAAGAAGTAAATGTTGTGTTTTTTCTCCTCTGTCTGGCCCAAGTTTATTCCACTTAAGGCTCAAAGAAGTCAGAGTAATGTTGTTTTATTAATAATAATATTGTTAAGATTTAATATTTAAGGGTTTTACTTGTTCGAAGAAACATTGCAACTAAAGAGCATTCGAGAGCATTTTCAAGTATATCTTTTTCGAAATAATTTACATTATATCCCTCATTTTTAAGCCAATTTTTAACAACATTATTTAAATGAGAACCAACAGATGTAGTATAACTTGCGTACTCAAATAATGGCCTTGAGTAATTTGGAATAATAATTTTAAATGGAATTAATAGAGCTTGCTCTTCAGTATTTAATGCTAAAAGATATATTCATGTAAGTCTTTTATCATTGAAATAATTTGTAGGTTCACTCCATAATATTGGTATAATAATTCTACACCATCGACGGTTTACAAGAAGGCACGAAAATAAAGTTTTATAATTGAGTCAGAAATTATTAAATATTTCAATAAGGCATTCATTAGGTAACATTGTCATTTTTGAAAAAATTATAATTAGTTTGAAATTTATTAATATAAATAGACTTAAACGGTAATCATATGAAAGTTTTTCCTATGACGATTAACTCACATATAATTTGTCGAAGCTTGTACCACAAAATATTAAAAAAACTTCATACATTCAGGCGGCAAATTTTTTTGAGACTATTTAGACCCAACGTTTCACAACATTTTATTATTTTTATATAACGGAGGCAAAGTCCGATTTTACCGTACTAAATTTATAGCTCTTTCATATTGAAATATTTAATAATTTTCAAATTTATCATAAAGATAGTTCTTCCGAAACGATAAAATTATACAGTTCTCTCAAAATGGAGATGTTACCAAACGAATGTTTTATTGAAATATTTAATAATTTGCAAACTAATTATAGAACTTTATTTGCGTGCCTTCTTGTAAACCGTCGATGGTGTAGACTTATTATACCAATATTATGGAGTGAACCTACGAGTTATTTTGATGATGAAAGACTTATAAGAATATATCTTTCAGTATTAAATACTGAAGAGCTAGCTCCATTGATCTCCTTTAACTTTATTCTTCCAAATTATCCAAAGCCATTATTTGAGTACGAACGTTATACTACATCTATTGGTTCTTGTTTTGATAATGGAGTCAAAAATTGGCTTAAGGAAACATTTGACGACTATTATTTAAATTGGTACAACTCTAATCACGAACTTAAACATGCTATCCAACGTTCTTTAGTTGCAATGTTTCTGCGAGCAAGTAAAAATCTTAAATATTTAACACTTAAAAATACTATTAATAAAACAATATTAGTGAGTGCATTTGGCAAGGATACCAAGTTGTCTTCTTTGAATCTTCGACATAATTATCTTGAATCTGAAGAAATAAATGCATTAGCTGACGCACTTTGCAAAAACACCACACTGACTTTTCTGAATCTTTTAAACAATAATCTTGGATCAGAAGGAGGAAAAGCTTTAGCAGATGCACTTTGTAAAAACACTACGCTGACTTCTTTGAATCTTTTAAACAATAACCTTGGGTCAGAAGGAGGAAAAGCTTTAGCAGATGCACTTTGTAAAAATACTACGCTGACTTCTTTGGATCTTAGTACTAATAATCTTGGATCAGAAGGGGGAAAAGCATTAGCAGATGCAATTTGCAAAAACATAACACTGACTTCTTTGAATCTTAGTACTAATTATCTTGGATCAGAGGGAGGAAAAGCATTAGCAAATGCGCTTTGCAAGAACTCTATGCTAAAAGATTTGAATCTTAGTACTAATAATCTTGGATCAGAAGGAGGAAAAGCGCTAGCAAATGCACTTGACAAGAACATTACGCTGAAAGATTTGAATCTTAGTAATAATAATATTGGATCAGAGGGAGGAGACGCATTAGCAAGTGCACTTTGCAAGAACACTACACTAATTTCTTTGAACATTAATAAGAATAATCTTGAATTAGGAGGAGGAAATGCATTAGCAAATCTACTTTACTCGAAAACTACGTTGACTTCTTTGAGCCTTGAAAATAATAATCTTGGATTTGTAGGAGGAATAGTATTAGCAGTCGCACTTTGCAAGAACACTACATTGAAAGATTTGAATCTTAGT